TCTGGGAAAGGGTCACCGGACCCGAAACGTTAACTCTGTTTTCTCCTTCACAGACGCTGCCAGACCTGCTGAGCTTTTCCAGCAATTTTGTTTTTGTATACAATAAGAATGTTGCATACAGAATGTTCAAGTAACGGTGAAGAGAGCACAGTTATCAAAGTTACGTATGGCTGCTTGTAACCACATGGCCTGTCAATCTTTGTTGTGGTAATGGACAATAATGCTCGTAAATGATGAATAAAGTATTGATCAAAGTTTGCCACTGAACAGTTTTTCTCACCAGTCAAAAAAGGAATGGGATTATTTCTTCCTTTATTAGGATCACATCAATGCTAATGTGTTAGAGAATTCATATACCGCAAGAACTAAGAATTGCAGAAACCAACAAGTGCAATAAGGTGTTGTGAAACCCAAACCTAGTTCTTCTGGTACCTATTCCACTTCATAAACTGGATGTCACTGTAACTGATGTGAAGATCCAATAAATGATGAATCATACCTGTGTAAAAAACCTACCAAGCAGAACAGACAGGCAGTGCTTATCAAAAGTGTTTCATATAAAACTTGTAACGAAGGTATTCAAGTGTACAGACCCTTGGAAAGTCGCTTCAACCACGATTTAAGAATTAGTGACCCAAGACACAAACTCTTAAAAGGATTACAGTTTTGGGGTGTTATCAGCTTAATTTGCAAAGGTGGAATTTAATGTCCTCCCATGCTGGGAGATTGGTAGGTTTTTTTTTTGGGGGGGGGTGGGCGCTGGGGGAGGGAAAATGGTAGATCCGCTCAAACAGATTGGTGGGTGCAAAATTGGAAGCCCACCACCTTCTCTCTGATTAAACACCAGTGAGGAGCTACATGAACAGCCTTCCTGCCTCTCGCGCCAATGCAGGCCTTAAAGTGCTTAAAGGGCCTCAACACCCCACTACCAGAATTAATTCAATAGTCAATGGGAGACCCTGCTATTCAGGAAGCCAGAGAAGCCTGTTGTGATTATTCATGGGGGCTGAGAGCCATCCTCATGCTGCCAACCCTCTTCCTCACCTCTCTCCCACTATCATGACCCCCTGCCTGGATCCAAAGGCAATCCTCGGCTCTTGCTGGGCATAGCACGGCAGCTGCCTGCCCCTCCCCAGTGGCGCTGCCAAGTAAAGAGATGGCTGCACCCTGCACTCCTTGATCCTGGGGAATGACACAGCCCACTTGGGTGCCTGAGTGGCCCTTACTTGATGGGCCTTCCAAAAGATAGATAAGTCAAGGCTGTTGCCTACTCTCCAGCCAGGAGGGTTTAGCATAGTCACCTCCATTAACTCTTTTCGCATAAATATTCAATCTAAAACAGGATGTCAGTAGTTCTGCTTTTGCCATTATTCAGTCTCTCAGCATATAACGTTCATTGGTTAAGTAACCTGGAAACTGGCATCTACCAGGCCCGTTATCGACTAGCAGAGTAATGACCCCGAATGACATTGACTCAGGTGTTGTAATAGCAGGGACTAACCCAGTCAGACTCAAAACTGGATCTTCTGTGTCAGTCTGTGCATCCCGAGGCAATGTTTTCATCTACTTATTAAGGGTATAATACATTTTATTTTAAAAAGGTTCAAATTAGACTGAATTGGGGAAAAAACAACAAGAATCAATGCCCTTTGAAATATTATTAACCACTAAAATGTACTTCAGTCTAAAGACTTGGCTGAGCTACTTGTATTTTAGGCTAAAGTGAAGGCAGCAAGCATCAAGTTCATTATGAACATGTTCAATGACATAACTTCAAATTACCGAGTGACAGGATAACTTTTCAGTACCACATCAATGCTCCTCACCAGCCAGTGAATATGTGCTTACCTCCAGCTTTGCAGCAATAAAGAGTGAGGAGATGCCAATGAGTTGCAGCTTGCTTTTATGAATATTCTCTTGAGTAACCATGAACCGATCAAAAAAATCCTGAGCAAGGTAAAAGGTTTCTCTATGGAGCACGTAGACCTCGCAAACCTGTAAGATTGGTTTAAAAAAAAGAATTAAACAACGGACTGAAATCAGTAAAATATAAAATTTGTGAATCTTGCTGGAGAGACCAAAAATTATTGCCTTGGAACGGTAGTGGTGAGCCATCTCCTTGAACTGCTACAGCCTGTGTGGCAATTGTAGGGGAATTCTGGAATTTTAAATATTCCTCTATTATAACTAGGTTAAGTCAGGATGCTGTAGGATTTAGAGATAGTGGCTTTCAACATTCATTAACCGAATCACTCTGGATGGCAGAGGTTGAGAAACTGAAAGTTGCTGCTAAAGAAGACTTGGTGAGTTTTGCAGTGCATCTTAAGGTAATACAGCAGCAAGGATGCAGAAGTTGGTGGGGCAGGGGGTAAGTGGTGAATGTTGAAGATTACAAATGGAGTACCAAATGTCCTGGATGGTGCTGAGCTTTGAGTGCTGTTGGAGTTGCACTCATTTTGGGAAGTGGGGAGTATTCCATCACATTCCTGACTTGTGCCTTAGAGATGGTGAATAGATGTTAGGGATTCAGGACATGAAGAATTCTAAGCTTCTAATCTACACATTTATATGGCTGGTGTAACGGAGCAGAGTGTATTGTTAGAAAGGCACATTTAGCCAATGTCTTTAATGTCATCAAGATCATACAGTTGTCAATTACAAAGGTTGCTAGAAATTTGCTGCCTAGACTATAGGGAAGGGATGAATATTCTGTTTTTCTATGGTCACTTGGTTAGTAAAGCAAGTGTTAAAATACCAGAATATTTTTAATAAGTCACTGCCTCAGTGAAAATTAAGATAAAACAAATAGAAATTGCAACAGTTGCTGAATTCAAACATGGAAACAACAAGATTTAGACCAGCTGGAACATTATTAGGTCAAAGATTCCAATATATTCTGACTCCTATTTTCATCTGTGTCCAGTACACCCTATACTGAAAAAAATCAATCATTCTTCTCTTAACAGAGAAAACAGGAGCAGGAGTAGGCCATTCACCCCCTCAAGCCTTCTCCGCCATTTAATATGCTCATAGAATCATAGAACCCTACAGTGTGGAAACAGGCCATTTGGGGTCCACACCAATCCTCCGAAGAGCATTCCACACAGACCCATCTCCCTAAACCTGTATTTCCCTTGGCTAATGTACCTAACCTACACCTATGAGTAATTTAGCAGAGACAATCCATCTAACTTGCACATCTTTGGACTATCAGAGGAAACCAATGCAGACATGGGGAGAATGTGCAAACTCCACACAGACAGTTGGCAAAGGCCGGAATTGAACCCTTGTCCCTGGCACTGTGAGGCAGCAGTGCTAACCACTGAGCCACCGTGTTTCATGGCTGATCATGGAGATCAATACCCTAATCGCACCCTCCACTCATATGCCTTGATCCCCTAGTCACAAGAGCTACATCAACCTCCTTGAAAACACAATGTTTTGGCCTCAACCACTTTTGGTATTGAATTTCACACGCTCAACACCCTCTGGTCGAAGATGTTTCTCCTCAAAATCTAAATAGCCTGCTTCGCATCCTTAACCTATGACTGCTCCCCTACTAACAGGAACATCCTACCTGCATATAACCTGTCTAGTCCAGTTAGAATTTTATAGGTTTCTAGGAGATTCCCCTCTCATTCTTCTAAAGCCCAGTGAATACAATCTTAACCAACTCAATCACATCTCATACATCAGTCCCACCATCCTAGAAGCAATCTGGTAAATCTTTGCTGCACTTCTATAGCAAGAAGATCCTTTCACACAAGGAGACCAAACCTGCACACAGCATTCCAAGTGTGGTCTCACCAATGCCATGTATAAATGCAGGAAGACATTCTTGTTCCGGTACTCAAGTCCTCTTGCTACGAAAGCCAACATACAGTTTGCATTAACTGCCTGCATGCTTACTTTCAGCAACTGGTACACAGACACCCAGGTCTGTTGAACAATACCCTCTCAATTTATAGCCAGCCTTTCAAATAATCTGCCTTCCTATTTTTGTGACCAAAGTGAATAACCTCACATTTATCCAACTATACTGTATCTGCCATGCATTTGCCCACTCACTCAGCCTGTCCAAATCACACTGCAACATCTCTGCACCCTCTTCACGGTTCACCCTTCCACCCAGCTTTGTCTCATCTGCAAATTGAGATATTGTATTTAGTTCCCTCATCTAAATCACTAACATATATGTCGTGAATAGCTGGGGTCTCAGAAGCAATGCCTGCAGTACTGCACTAGTCACTGCCTGCCATTCAGAATTAGATCCATTTATTCCTACTCTCTTTCCAGTCTGCTAAAAGAATTTTCTATCTGTTTCAATACACTAACCCCAATCCCGTGCACTTTAATTTCATGTATTAGTCTCTCACATGGGACTTTGTCGAAAGCCTTCTGAAAGTCCAATTAAACCACATCCACTGGCTCCCCTGATCAACTCTACTAGTTACATTCTTGACAAATTCCAGTAGAATTGTCAAGCATTATTTCCTTTTTGTAAATCCATGCTGACTGTGTCTGATTCTAAGTGCTCTACTATAAAACCCTTGATAATGAACTCTACCAATATCAAACTCGCTGATCTATACGTTTTCTGTTTTCTTTCTACCTCCTTTTTAAAAACAGTGGGGTTATACTGAAACAGTTCCTACAGATTGGAGGGTAGGCAGAATCTAAGGAATCTTGGAAAATGGCCATTTCTAGGAACACTTCTGGGGTGTAGATTATCAGGCCCTGGGGGTTTATCAGCCTTCAATCCTATCCCATTTGGTTTCTCCAACACTTTCTCTACTAATACAGATTTCCTTCAGTTTCTCTCACTAAACCTTGTGTTCCTTATCCCTTCATGTCCTCCTTTGTGAAGACAGAAGTGAAGAATGAATTTCGTTCGTCAGTCATTTCTTTGATCGCCATTCTAAATTCTCACATTTGACTGTAGAGTGCCTACTTTAGTTTTCACCCGTCTTTCTTTCCACGTACCTTACAGAAGCTTTTAGTCAGTTCTTGTTCCCAGCAAGCTTACTGTCATACTCTATTTCACTCTTCTTAATCAATCCGTTGGTCCTCCTTTGCCGACTTCTAAACTGTTCCTAATCCTCAGGTAGATTGCTTGTTTTCTTTCTCTTCTCTATCCAAGTGTCAAAATTCCAAGATAGAGCTAAGCTGTTACAGCTAGGTTAAGCCATAAACACCACTGAAGTCAAAACACCTTGTAGCTAGTTTTTTTTTAAAATTAAAGTATTACATCCTGAAATCCTAGCTCAATTTCTCTCTCTCTAAAGATGCTGAATATTCAACATTTTTCCCTTTTGTTTCAGATATCCAATGTCAACAGTGTTTTCCCTTTGTTTTACTACTTCATCATGCTCTTGATTGATACTGTAGGTAATGGAGAAGTTCTGGAAGTCAAGATGTTGCACGGTGGCAGGAATGTCATACATCACTCAAACAGCCCTGGGTATTGTCCATGGTGTTGCTGCATGCAGAGATAGAGTGCTTTGTAGAAAGTGTGGGTCATTTGGTAGTACACGCATCTTTAATGCGCATGGTTTTAAATTCACATTGAAATTGGTGAGTGAAGAAAAGTCAAGACTAACAGTGCAATACTGATGGTGTGTTGAACTACTGAAGGTGTCATCTTTTGGAATACAGCATTAAACTGAGGTCCAATCTTTCTTCTCACCTGGAACCAAAGATCCTATGGTCGTATTTTGCAGAACATCTAAGGTTGCTGACTTGCTCGCTGATCTGGCTTGTTCTCGTTCAGACGTTTTGTCACCATGCTAGGTGGCATCATCAGTGAGGCCTCCAATGAAGTGATGTTATTCTACTCTGTTTGGAATTTATACTGTCCGGTCTGTTACGTGAGTAGTGTCATTTCCAGTTTTGATCTGTATGGGTTTGTAGATGGGGTCCAATTCTACATGTTTGTTAATTCCATCGGATTCCTAGAGATGTGGTTCTCCACCCATAATGCAATCAACAAACATAGTATTGGACCCCATCTACAAGCCCATACAGAACAAAACTGGAAATGACACTACTCACCATAACAGACTAGACAGCATAAATTCTAAGCGGAGTAGAATAACATCGCTTCATGAGAGGCCTCACTGATGACGTTACCTAGCATGGTGATGAAACGTCTGAATGAAAACAAGCCAGCTCGGCGAGCAAGTCAACAACCTCACCCACAACCCGAGCTACAGATCTTTGCCAAAACTCGCAGAACACCTATGCACAAATTAACATTAAAAAAAATCACCCCGATCATTATTGCATTGCAATTTGGGGAGCTTGCTGTGTATAAACTGGCCCCGCCTTTTGTGTTACAACAGTAAGAATATTTCAAAAAGGACTCCTTTAGCTGTAAAGCACTTTAGGATGTCTAATAGTCATAGGAAGCATTCTAAAAATGCAATTTTTTTTCTTGAAATGTAGTGCACAGATAAACATTTTCAAGAGTGGTTTTATTCAAAGCCTAAAACATGTGCAGCAGCTCAAGAAGACAACTTGCTGCTACCTTCTCAAGGGCAATAAGAAATGGGCAATAAGTACTGACCCAGCCAACAGCACCGACAGCCCATCAATTAATTTAAAAAAAAACATTCAAACACCTAAAGCAAGAAGATAATTCTCTTAAATCTGTGTTTGGTTTTAAAAAAAGATGAAATGACCCATCTTACCAGTTACCTATACTTTTAGCGGTAAGTAATGTTGAATGATTCCGATACGGTTTCAAGGTCAGAAAACATACGACACCAGGTTATAGTCCAACAGGTTTATTTGAAAACACAAGCTTTGAGACTTTCTCTGAAGGAGAAGCAGTGAGGCTCTGAAAGCTTGTGTTTTCAAATAAACTTGTTGGACTACAATCTGGTTTCATACGTTTTCTGACCTTGCCCACCCCAGTCCAACACCGGCACCTCCACATCATCAATACGGTTTCAAGTGACAATCAACAACTGCGCATAAAAAAGGACTGCAATGGTGACTAACCTCTATGAGCCAATCCAGTAAAATTGCTCTCATTTTCGGCTGCAAGGATGGATGTGGCGAGAGAACGTTTTTGCTGTGGATATACTGGATTTCTTTTCTCAACATGTTCGACCATACATCTTCAGAGTTTCCCCAGCTACAAATAAAATCATTTCAAGTAAGTAATGAAAACGCCAGATGATGTAGAATAGCATTTATTTTTGGAGCTGATATTTTACAAGTTTAGAAAGGAGTTGTTGACAATTTTTCCCCCTTATACTCCTCTCCAGGATTTCTCTCTTTAAAGAAACTCTTTCTTGGTCACCCAACCCCATCACCACCTTGCTTTATAATCTTTGAGAAAGCCCGAGCATTCCTTCATCAGCAAAAGTTCGGAGACCTCAGTAGTTTCCAAAAGTTCCAGGTTTATAAATTCTGTACCCCTTCAGTCAGCCTATTCCATGTCCCATACTTCCTTTCCCAGTCAAATCTTGAGTTGCACCAGGTTGTAGAAATATTACCCCTCTTACTTTGAGGTGGCCTGAAAACTTCCATACCTTCAGTGTTTAAAATATCTCTATTTCCAAGATTCTCTGACTGTCCCCAGATCCATAGGCTTCATCTAACTTCTAGCAGTTCTGTCACTTTTGCTCACAAGCTATTAGGATGACCAATTGTCCTGGATGTTCCAGGACTGTCCCATAATTTGTCTTTTTGTTCTGTGTCCTGGGTCAGACCTTGCTGGAATAAATTTGATCCATCAGTGCAGGCCTTGTATCTGCATGAGCTCATGATGTGCATTCCAGCACAGGTCCAGGAGGACAGCTATGAGCAGCAAGTATTACATTCAGGTTACGTTGTCAAGGACACTTTACAGACATTAGTTTTTGTTTTAAGTAGTGCTTTTTCTTAGGGCTTATTAAAAAAGGGTTCTTTAAAAAAACAGAGAAAACCTGGCAAAGTGTAACAGTTTTAGGTCTCAAAACTGTCTTCAGTCTAATGGAGCAGTATACTGTGCATGCACACCCACAAATTAGGTTTGTTTCCTATTCCAACTGAAACAGCACAGAAGAGAATTTCCAACAGGTGTGTATATGTGCTCAAGTTATTAAGTGCTGCAGGATAGGCAAAGAGTGTAGTTTATAAATCATGTGGTACTCTAGTCTTCATTAATGAAGGGCATATTATACAAGAGCAGGAAGGGTATTTTGAACTTCTAATGGTCACTGATTAGATCTCAGCAACAGTATCATGTACAGTTCTGAGCATCACACTTTGGGAAGGACATGAACACACTGGAATGAGTGCAGAAGCAGTTTACAAGAATAGTTTCAGGATGAGAAATTTCGTTATGAAGAGACTGCAGAAGTTGGGATTACTTTCCTTGAAGAGGAGATTTGATAGAAGAGGTCTGGATAGAGTACATAGGGAGAACAGTTTCCACTCATAAGAGGATTGAGAACCGGAGGACACAGCTAATATCATACAATCCTTACACAGTGTGGAAGCAGACTATTTGACCCATCGAGTCCACACTAACCCTCTGAAGAGGATCCCACCCAGACCACCCCTCCCCTTACTTATCCCTATAAACCTTCATTTCCTGTGGCTAATCCTACACACCCCTGGACACTATGGGCATTTTAACATCGTTAATCCACCTACTCTGCACATCTTTGGACTGTGGGAGGAAACCAGAGCACCTGGAGGAAACCCACCAGGTAAGACTGTGCAAACTCCACACAGTCATCGAAGGGTGAAATTGAACCTGGTCCTCTTGCTCTGTAGCAGTAGTGCTAACCACTGAGCCACTATATCACCTCCGTGAGAAAGATATTTTTCCACAAAGTGAATGGTTAGGGCCTGGAATTCTCTGGCTGAAAATGCATTAAAGGAAGGTTCAATCAAGAAATTCCAGAGGAATTAGAGGATTATTTAAATAGAAATAAAGTGCATGTTTACAGAGAAAAGGCAGGGGATTGGTATTAGGCCAAAATGCTCAGAAAGCCAGTGCAGACAGGATGGGATGAATGGCCTCTTCTACACTGTAGCAATTCAGTGGTTGTGAACAGAGAAGATTGCGAAGTGGTTTCTGTCAATACTCAAAAATGAAAACTGGCAATTTTTTTTTTAAAAAGGAAACAGCATACTAAATTAGATATCCATATCATTACTCAGTATATTTACAAATTGAGTCCTTGTTTTGGAGATTTGCAGAAAAACTTAATAGCTAGGTACTGAATTGCTGAGCACTCTAATCTGCAGTCAGTCTTCATCATGGTACTCACCTGAGAGGCGGTAGAGGTGATTTGGTTAGGAATAGGTTTTTAAACCTATACTGAGAGAACCTGGAAAAATCTTCAGTGATATCAGCATCTTTGTGGGGTGTGGGGATAAGGATGCAAGGACTAACACCTCCGGGTACTATGGGTGTCCAGCAATTCTGCGAAAAAGTTGATGAAACAAATGTCATTAGATATCTGACCAGCACCCACATTGAAGAAAATTTTACTTTCATGTAGACTTGACAAAGTGCTCCCTCTGCAGGTTCGAGAAGAAGGTGCAGTACTGTTAATTTATAAAGGGAAATTATAGGTCAGTATTAATATGCCCTTCATGATAACACTAACTGAACTCCACATTAGAAATACATTAAAACAGCAAGTGCCAACCCGCACTGTTTAGTTTATAAGTTAAATTTAGAAATCAAAGCCAGAAATTAAAACCTTTGATTTTTAAAAAATTAAATTCCGAGGGGAACGTCAACAAAGCTACGTGCAAATTAGCGGACTCTTAACAGGGTTGAAAGGAAATAACAGTCGAAATAAAGTAACAGTCAAAAGGCAGACAGTGCAGTGTTACTGAATCCACAATGTGATGGCTGCAGTAGTAATCACGACTGAATAAACCCCTGCGCAAAGAGTGCCCCCTCCCCTAGCCATGGCCAGAATTTCAGTAACAGTTCAGGCAGATTCCACTGCCCTTTTTTTAAAAAAAAGGACGTTTGCGAGGGAAAACTTCCCGCGTTTATTCATTTCCGACTTAATTTAACACGTAAATTTAGACATTTCAACCCCCGATTTCACTGTTTCACACAAACTTCACACGGAATCCCTTTGGCAGTAAATAATAGGTCATTTTGCAGAGTTTTACTGGGCAGGAAATCTCACCCCAAGAAACTCTGGGGCAAGGGTCCGAACAAACGTAATTTTAATACCACGTCTTAAAATTAAAAACTCGGGACTCGATAAGAATTTTTTACAATGAACCTATTTCTATATTTCCCGGGCAATGCAATACATAAAGCCCTTAACAACACTGCATCCGAACCTCAGTCTAAATTCAATACGCTTGGTCAAAAAAAAATCCAGCACAAAGTGTGGGTGCTTATGGACAATATTTGAAAATTATACATATTTCTATAGATTGTGTGGTTTCTAAATTTTAAATTTTAAAGTATAGTGAGCACAAGTGAAACAAAAAGGCAGAGTTCATACAAGGCGGGCGCGCCACGATCAAGCACCTCCCACAAGAAGCAGGAACCGGCTGTTTGGTAGCGCGCAAACTCCCTGTGCTGAAAGCTAAGGACACTTCATTCATCCTTACAGTCTGCAAAGAGCAGCTACTGAAACCACGAATGGAAGATTAATTCACACGGTCATGATGTCGAGGCTAAAATGTTAATATTCAAGTACAATATCAACAGTATCAGCGAGGTGTCTCCCCTTCAAGCACCACCACATATTTTTGGAGACGTTATCTGCTGGAGCAGACAACTGGGTGGCCACCAAATCCCGCCTGCTCAGCTTCAGTTTCGGAGACTCAAATTGCACGATCGACCGTGCAATTTTTTTGTAAAGGCTAAATATTATCACAAGGAATATACACAAAGTGACAAATTAAATAATACCAAAATACACACATACACGTGTCTGTTCTACACTGGACACTGCTTAACCCAGAGAAATTATCCATAGGTATACACACAGTAACACTTTTCATCTATGGTAATTCTTAATATCATTCTCTGCAGCATGATACTGCTATGGATCACCCACCTGTATCTGGAACTGTCGCCGTCTCTTGCTCACTTCCGTTTCATGGTTATGATCACTGCATTCCTGAAAAATATATAAATTGTCATTGCATTAAATATTTACTAGAATAAACTTGGTTTAAGATATTGATAATAGCTTCACGTTGCTCACTTCAGGTTTCCTCTTCTTTGACTGAATAGTGTCATCCTTTTGTCCCTCTGATTTTGCCTGCTTGGCTTGCAAACGATCACTGTTTCAATACACAGAATTGTATTTAAATATGAATTCTCTTAAAATTTCTCCAAGTATATAATTATAATAAAGGTGCATTTCTTACCTGCGTCTCGACATGCTCTTCAATAATGTAAATCCCTGAAAATATAAAATTGAGAAATATGACATTCACTGTATTAATAGTATAATAACGAGGAATTGTATAAGACACATGACACTGGCCTCCTGCCAGGCTACCAAGATCTAGTGTCATTTTTATTTAAATCCACAAGACATTGGTTAAATTTAAATTCCAATAAAAAAGCAGTATTTTTACAAAGCGGATTGTTTTTTTGGAAACTGCTATGGGCGCATGAGCAATCAATTTCAACTTTTGGATTATATTCATAAAAACAGCATTCTCACAGCAAAGTTCTGTTTCTATCTCTGCCCTTGATATTTTTTCATCAATTAGCTGGATATTGACATGTGAAAAGTACGTTCGTTGCAATTTCCAAGTTATTTTATCTCGCACCCGGTTCCGCGCCAATTTACACAGAGCGGGTAAAGCCTGGATTGGACACTTGCTCACTTCTTTGCTGCCCAGCCGCCAAACCAATAAAACCCTGATTTTTCACAAAGAACAGTCAGCGCAGCTTTACTCTCAGGCTCACTAGAATCTCGTCCATGGCATGTAAGCAGAGCCATCTCCAACCTAAAACTAATTTTACATACATGCACACACATATACACCCAGAGAACCGGTGTGTAAAATGAGTACAGTTCTGCGCAGTAACCGGCGCTAGTTTCCGCTCATAGAAATTTTTAAAAAGTCTGTCATCCGCATCGGTTCCACTTCATGCTTCATTTTTCTCCTCCAGATCATTAATATTATCGATATTAAATAAACAAGCCTTTATATGACCACAGATGCTGCGTCCCACTGCTGTCCTTACCCTAGATGCTGATCTGCTCAGAAATATCTCAGCTGGCGCCGGCGCCAACACTTTTAATAAGGGAGCAAATCAAATGCGCATGTGTATACTGTCACCCAGGTGAACACAAATCTAACTTTTTTTTTCCTGACAGTGCTATTTATTAATGCAACTCAATTAAAATATCTTTGCCACCTCCAGACGCGGTTCGCTTTGGCAAATTACATTTTTGAAATGTTTTACTGTGCTCAGATTGCCTGCTTGTTTTAAATAAACACCACCCACTCCTTAAAGTCCTTCCTTAGAGGAGGAGATTTAAAATCCACCAATAGCTACAACAAACCGGTCGTGCAACGTGATTTGGCTCCAAATGTAAACAGAAATTCCAAGAGATTGTCAGACCCGCGCATTTCAAGTATATTTTACACGTAACGTGGAAATATTATTTTAAAATAATCCCGAAATAATTCAATTTGTTGCAATCAGGAAAAGTTTTTCACCAGAACATCCGACGCTAAGGAAGAAGTTTCAGTTCAAGGGATTTCCCCTTAATCTTAAAACTTCTATTGACAGACGTACAGTGCTCTTTCCTAGTTTCACAGGTATACCTGCTTCCTGGTGCTTAGAGGCATCCTGGAAATAACATTCTTTCCGATGGGAACCTCATTGACATTTGGAAGAGGTACAATGAGTTATAAACTGCAGTACTTACTGGGAAGTTGCACGTGGAACTTCACGAAGGAACGTGTTTTCCATAGACTGTCTGCTTACAAGCAAGCCCCAAAAGTCTTTTGTACTAAATACGAACAGGTCAACAAGAAGGAAACCACTGATACCCAAGAATAAAAGACCGCAGATGGTGGAAGAGTGAAAGAAAAAGCAGGAAATACTGGAAATATAACCAGATCAGAGTGTCACGGAGAAAGAAATGTTGATTTTTGTAAAAACAAAGTATATAGATATTTGTAAATGGGATGTGAGGATTGCTGGCTATAGATCAGCATAATTGCCCTGAAGAAGGTGGTGGTGAGCTACCTTCTTTAACGTTGTAATCCAGAGGTATATCCACGGAAGGGAGTTCCAGCACTTTGGCCCAGCAACAGTAAAAGAGAGGTAATATTTTACTTAACAGAGAACGCCTACAGAATTCTGAGGTGAAGAGGGATTTGGGTGTTCTAGAGCATGAGTCACAATCCGTTAATATGCAGCTACAGCATGTAATCAGGAAGGTTGATGGAATATTATCCTTTATCACCAGAGGAATTGAACATAAAAGTAGGGATGTTATGCTTTAGTTATACAAGACATTGATGAGACCACATCTTAAATACTGTGTGCAGCGATGGTCTCCAAATTTAAGGAAATACAGCAGCTGTGGGAAGAGTTAACATTTCCAGTCTGGCGACTCTTCATTAGAACATAAATGTGTTGGAGATGGATTTAGAGAGTATTTACTAGATTGACATCTGGATGACTGGACTGTCATACAGGAAAGCTTGTTTAGACTGGGTGTGTTTCCACTGGAATTTAGAAGATCAATAGATGATTTGATTAGAGTTTACCAGAGCCTGAACAGTATTGACAAAGTGAATGTCAAAAGAATACTTACTCCTGTGATAACCCAGAACTAAGGGATACTGTCCTAAAATTAGAGGTCTCCCTTTTGAGACAAGAGACGAGGGGAACTGTTTTCTCTCAGAGGATTGAGAGACTTTGGAACTCTCTGCCTCGAACAATAGTGAAGATGGACTGATTGAATATTTTTAACGTGGCGGTAGATAGATTCTTCTAAGGCAAGGGAATCAAAGATGATCAGGGATAGATGGGAATGTGCAGTTTGGAACACAAACCGATCAGCCATCATCTTACTGAATAGCAGAACAGACTTGAAGGGCTGAAGGCCATACTTACTGCTCCTAACTCGGATATTTGTACAGTCCCAAGTCAGAGTGATGTATGACATGCAGGGGAATTTGTAAGTGGCTGATGTCCCCATGGATCTACTGCTCTTGGCTTTCTAGGTGGTAGAGATCATGAGTTTGAAAGATGTTGCTATGGGGCTTTGGTGAGTTACTGTAGTGCATCTTGTAGATGGCACATATTTCTGCCATTGTGGTAGAGGAAATGTTAATGTTAAAGGTGTTAATGGAGTGCTAATCAAGTGGGCTACTTTGTCCCAGGATGATGTTGAGCTTCATGAGTGTTATTGGAGCTGTAGTCATCCTAACACGTAAAAAGTATTCCACCACACTCCTGGCATGTGCATTGTAGATTTTGGACAGGGTTTGAAGGGTCAGGAGGTGAGATACTCACTGCAGAAGTCCCAGCCTCTGACTTAAGTCTTGCAACCTCTGTACTTAAATAGCTGAAACATATCAGTTCACTGGTAATTGATATTGGGAGATTCAGTGATAGATTCACCATTAATTGTCAAATGGAGATGGTTAGATTTTTATTTCCTGATGGGGATGGTCAGTGCCTGACAATTTTATGCTGTGAATGTCACTTAATGCTCATCAGCCCAAGCCTGGTTCTTTTCGAGGTCTTGCTACATTTGAAGGCAACTATTTTCGCTTCTGAGAATTTATGAATTTTGCTGAATATTGTACAATAATCACCAATATATCTTCACTTCTGACCTTATGATGGAGGGAAGATCATTCATGAAACAGCTGATGATGGGTGGGCCTAGGATACTAGCCTCAGGAGTTGCTACTGCCATGTCCTGAGGTTGAAATGACTGATTTCCAACAAACACAACCATCTTCCTTTATGCTAGATACAACTCCAACCAGCAGAGAGTTTACCCCCAATTCCCATTGCCTTCAATTTTGATATAGACTCTTGATGCCACACTCAAATAAATACCTTGATGTCATGTGCTGTCACTATCAAATCATCTCTGGACTTTAATTCTTTAGCTCATGTTGGACTAAAGCTGTAATGAGGTCAGGAGCTAAGCAGCCTTGTTGGAGCATATCTGAATGAGTGTACAGATTATTGCTGTAAATGTCACTTGATTACACTATGAACAACCCTTCTATCACCTTCATTTCTTTAGCATTTCTGAAGAAGGGTCCCAACTTGAAACGTCAGCTTTCCTGTTTCTCTGATGCTGCCTGGCCTACTGTGTTCCTCCAGTTCCACACTTTGTTATCTCCTTCTATCACCTTCCTGGTGATGAAGAGCAGACTGATGGGTTAATTGGCTAGGTTCTATTTCTCTTCCTTTCTGTTGTCAGGACATATCTGGGCAATTTTCCACACCACTGGTTAGATGACACTGATTGGGACAGCTTTACTAGTGGTGTTGCACATTCTGGACCACTGATATTCTAAATTATTGTCAGAATTTCATGTAGATAGATTTTTGATAAGCAAGGGGATGGTTATGGGAGATCATCCGGAATGTGGAGTATTCAGTTCAGCCATGATCTTATTGAATGGAAGAGCAGGAACAAGAGGCCAAGTGGCCTATTCCTACTCCTAGTTCATATGTTTGTATGCACTAAATTGGCTTCAGATCAAATGTTGGAAAATTGATGAGGTGATTGGCTTGTTTTTCAGCTAGTGAAGACACAATGGCCAAGTGGCCTCATTTTGTGCTGCAAATGCTTAATGATTCGAACCTGTGAATGTTGTTAGGGCCCATACTCTTTGAAGTATCCAACCCATTTATGATAACACATGGAATGAATCAAATTGGCCAAAGGATGGCATCTATGATGTTGGGATCTTGGAAGTTCATGATGGATCATTCATCCCTGAACAAAATGGGCCATGACAAGAAAAGTGGAAAAATGGGTTAGATTTCAACAGGGACCTTCCTGATGTCGAGATCAAAAATTCCCATTTTCCAACCAAGTGTTGGACGGCAGAACAAGATTCTCACTAGTGAGCAGTGAGAGGCCTATTAACAGGGACTATAGCTCAGTATCATCCTCATTATAATTTAATCTCACCTCATTACTACACATTTTCAGGCTGGATGGAAACCCGATGCTGAGAGGACCTGACAGAAGTCTGAGCGGGTACCTGGGCAACTGCAGCTCACACCTTGTTCCTCCAGACTCCATCTAGGATACCTGGTACCAACCTGTCAGGGTGCAATCCATGGATGGTTACCATACACACCCCACATGCATGGAAACTGGCATCCCACAAATATCGGCCTCACCATATCATCATCATCACATATCCCTGACTCACTCAGTGCTGCACAGTGCAACATAGCAGCACTCTCATTGCAATGATGTTGCAGGACAATTCATGCACAGAGATCATGGTGTGGACTAGCATTTCTCTCAGGACTTCTCACCTGTTCTCTCAGCACTCACTTATTTTGTGCCTATTTGATGCTCATGGCATCCCTGCATTGCCTTACCTCCTCAGCTGCATGTTAAAGGGTCACTGTACTTTTGCTTTGTCTTGCTGTTTAGCAAAGACACAAAATCCGGGAGCTTGTCATAGTTGACATTACTCAAATAGATGGAATATGTTGCTATGTGGCACATGCTATATCAATCTCATACCTACAGGATGTGCCAGCTCAGCCAACACAGCAACCATATTACATGTTCATCAACAAATGGTCATGTCCCAGTGTCAACAGGGAGCAGTCCTCGTCATGTCACAGGGGGCTGCTGTCAATCAGGGTTACCATTACAGTCAGTAAAGGAGTATCTGAGCATGGTTCTTCGGTGCAGTTAGGATCAGGAGGCCCATCTCACTAGTGTGGGGAATGGGCTGCTGTTATTCCTGCAGATCCAGTGTAAGCAGTCAAGTGATTTGCAGTAAGTTAGTCAGGGACCTGCACAGAGAGTGGTCAGGGTTCTGGTCAGTTATCGGTAAGGACTGTCCATCCAAATTGTTGGGGAGAAGGGCGAGTGTGGCTTGACCATGGTGAATCCTGGGTATTAACAGGATAAAAGTCAAGGGAGGATACTAGGAGACACTGCAGTGGTTGGGAAGTGGGGGGCTTAATGCTGGGAACTGAAGAGGAAAAATTTGTCTATAAAAGGAAGGGATGGTGTGGGAGTGCAGCTTAATGGTATTCATCATCACCATTTCATCAGAGGGGGAGTTTTACATTATGGGTAGGGTGAAACTGATGGCACAGAGTTTGCAGGGTAAAGAAGAGAGTGCAGTCATAATTCTAAGTGTGGGAGGGAACATGTGGAGGGTCAATAAGTGTCCAAGCAGTGCCAGGTAAAAAGAGACATGGAGGTTCCGGTGAGCTCCCAATTACCAGGCTGGGCCTGAGACTCTGTGCCAAGTGCAATCTCTGTCGCCTTCCAAGTTCTTCCAACTCTTCAATGTGAACTGAAAATTGGAAATGGCTGTGCCCACACATACAGTGGATGAAGTCAGTGTTTGTTTCCTGCCCCCACACGGAGTTTTCATTTCTGATGGATGGAAGGCCCTTGAAGGAGCAATTGCATCAGTCATTCACTCACAGAGTACAATCGAAGTCATTCGTAATCGTATCGTCGTGCATGTGAAATACATGCAGTGTGTAACTGTAGGTGCAAATTGGTCAGAAACAATTTTGACCATGTTACTGGTCACTGCAGAATGAAGAATGCATTCTCAATAAAGCGGAAGTAATCACAGGTGGCCTAAAAGTGACAGCAGTGGGCCACAAAGCACAAA